AGCAAGCACTAAGTTTGATGCTCAGTTAGATGCTATTTTCACCTACCAGGCTCCCTACTTCTCCTCGCCTCTTTTCTTCTTTAATTTGCTGTGCTTGTCTCACAGTAAGTTGGTTAGGAACGCTGAACAAAGTTGTGTAGAGCTGGAGGTCAGTTGGGTTTTTCAAATAGCTGTGGTGCTTTGGGTTTTTCAGAGCTTGTGAGGAGTAACGATGTGAAAAGATCAATCCCACTGACCATGACAGGTAGAGGACAATTTCTTTTTTTTTCACACAAAGCAAATATTTAATAAATTATTTCTGAATTATTCAATTTGTTTGCTGTCTTCTTAGTTATTCTTTCTTACAGCAGGGTTACTTTCTATTCTTCTTTTAAAACATTTTAATTCTAGTTTAGTTAATATATAGTGTTAAATCAGTTGCAGAAGTACAATATGGTGATTCAACAATTCTATACATCACCCAGGGCACATCAAGATAGATGAACTCTTATTCCTCCATTTTACCCATCCCATCTGCTAACTATCTGTTTGTCTTCTGTAGTTAAGAGTGGGTTTTTTTCTTTTCTTTTTGGTTTATCTCTTTTTTTCTTTTGTTTTGTTTCTTAAATTCCACTTTTGGGTGACATCACAAGGTATTTGTCTTTCTCTGACTGGCTTATTTCTCTTGGCATGATACTCTCAAGCTCCATCCACGTCATTGCAAATGGCAAGATTTCATGCTTTTAAATGAACGGAAACCTGTGAGTCGTTCCTGCCACAGTCTTCTCCTTTCTTCCCTGCACCAAATCCATTGTACAGTAGTGATGCCAACCCCCAGCACATCCCCAGGCCAACCCACCATTATCTCTCACTTGCCGAACTAGAACAGCCTCTTTACTAGTCTCTCCACATCCACCGGGCCCCTTCAAATCTGTTCTCCATCCTACGCAGACATTTTTCTAAACCAGAAGTCCTGTCAAGTCCCTCCCCTAGTTAAAGTCCTTCTGAGGGCACCTAGGTGGCTCAGTTGGTTGGGTGACTGACTGCAGCTCGGTCATGATCTCACAGTTTGTGAGTTTGAGCCCTACATCAGGCTCTGTGCTGACAGCTCAGAGCCTGGAGCCTGCTTTGGGTTCTGTGTCTTCCTCTCTCTTCTCCTTCCCCTGCCTTGTGTTCTCTCTATCAAAAATAAATAAACACCAAAAAAAATTTTTAAATCCTTCTCAGCTTCCCATTACCTTTGAGATAGAGAGTAAAATCTTCAATATGGCCTACAAGGCACTTCACGATTTGAGAAGGATCCACGTGGACAATCTCATCCGGAGGCCCTCACCGCGGCTCCTGTGTTCTAGCTCTTCTTTCAGTCCTCAGATGTTGGCAAAGTTCTTCCTGCCTCAGGGCTTTTGTGTGTCCATTCTTTCTGCCTAGAACTAACTTTTCACCTCTAACTGGTATCCAGCTCTCTCAGCTTAGGTGTCTTCCTCAGGGAAACCTTCTCTGGCTTTTCAGCATGCCCAGGCACCTGCTGTAAGCTCTCTTAGCATCCTGTCCTTTTCCTTACCAGAGGAAAAAATATTGTGAATTGTAACAATGATGGATTGTAATGAAATATCTATTCCTTTAATTAATGTACACCAGTCTGTAGACTGCAAAAGGGCAGAGAGATAGTGTGTATTCTACTCAGACCATGTTGAATTTCTAACACCTATAACAATGTCTAGGTTCGGTAGGCAGAGGAGAGATGGAGGAAATCTTCAGGAGACAAAAAGGAAATTTGATGAGAGAGCAATGCCCTTTTGCTAAACAGCACATCAGGAATCTAAAGGACCAGAGTGATTGACTTAAGACTGGAAAGTTAGAGACGAATAGATACCCGAAATGGAAGCCAGTAGTTCTCAGCCCTGGCTGAATATTACGATCACTCAGAGAGTTCTTAAAAATACCATCAATGGACATTCTGATTTATTAGGTGTGGTGTAGCTTAGGAACCAGTGTTTTCACCAGCTTCCCTTCTTGGTGAAAAGTCACTGATCTAGTAAGAGGTAGGATCTGTGCAGGGTCAAATAACTATTTGGTTTCAAAGTCAGGACTAAAACCCAAGCCACCTGACTCCCACACTTTGAACTTTCTGCTCCCCTGGAAACCCAAGAGAACTAGGACTGCAATGCATGTCATTCTGCCTAAACCAACTAGACGTTGAATGGAGGTAGGAGATCAATCCAGTTAATTAATAGCGTGCTTAGGAAACTCTGGAAAAGCACAGCTTTAATGGCTGAACAATGAGGCATCTTAGAGTGAAGTAACCCCTTAAGATAGCCCCAAAACTGGACAGAGACACACTAACTCCATCCTCGTGGATGTCTGCTTTTGTGTAGTTTGTTTTGTTGCATATAAATAGATGAGTTTTTCCATTCATTTCAACTGTCCTGAGAAGGTGAGGCTGGGCAGCTCTCATGGAGCACAGTGACTTCTCTGGATCCCATGAGATCCACAGAGAAAATTCTTCTGTGACTGAGAGCCCTGTGCGTCCAATTTATTAGTATAATTGGATATTAAAGTATTCATTTGTCTAAGATAAATCCCCATGGGCCAACTAACATGTCAACAATTGCATGAATCAAGTTAAGGGGTGTCTGGGTGGCTCAGTCAGTTAAGCACAACCTTGGCTCATGTCATGATCTCATGGTTTGTGAGTTTGAGCCCCACATCAGGCTCTGCGCTGACAGTGTGGAGCCTGCTTGGGATTTTCTGTCTCCTCTCTCTCTGCCCCTCCCCCAACTCACATACTCTCTCTCTCTCTCTCTCAAAATAAATAAATAAACATTTTTTTTTAATCTTGCTTGGGATTCTCTCTTTCCCTTTCTCTCCCTGCCCCTCCCCCACTCATGCTCCCATGCTCTTTCTCTCTCAAAACAAATAAATAAACTTTAAAAAATCAAACCAAGGCACACTTGGTGCATTTTCATTGCTCTAAGACTCTCAAGTAATATAAAGTAGGAAAAAAAGAGAATTTCCTATTATTTAATAAGCCCAGTACATCATGAAATCAGGATCTTTCAGATCATGGTGATCAGCTGAGAAGCCCCTGATATTATCCAGATTGATTTATTTACTGAATAAGAGGACCCAGATATTCCATAAATTCAGGACAAGGCTCAAGGGGTAACACCAAACAACAGGGACCTTCCATTGGTGGTCTTTGCTACCCGATCCTCTTATAAGACCATTTGTAACCCTTAGCCTCTCTCCCCTGACCAAGAAAAGAATATTTGAAAGTCAATAGTCTTCTATTTGGGTTAAAGTAGCTATTATCTAAGTGAAAGACAAAAGGGTAAAAGTGGTACCAGGGAAGAACGGAAGGAAAGAGGAAAGAAAAGAGAAGGATGGGGAGGTTGTCTTAGCTAAAACTATGCTTCACCTAGTCCTGAGGCAAGGGGAGGGGATCTTCCTAATATAGACTATCTGGGTCAAAAAACATGTTAGTCATGTCCTAAACAGAAAGGGGCACATAGGGAGGAGACTTAGAGTACTCAATTGCTCAGTTATCACCCAATTCTCAGGCCAGAACGTTATCTACAATCTAAATCCAGAAAATCCCTAGGTAAGCTTGAGACAAAGGGGGACTGGGAGAACAACACATCTGGGAAATAGGGCCTAGAATGTTGGAAAAGCCCAGTCACCCTCAGCTCATTCATGGGTGTGCATTTTCCCCATTTCTAGTTTCCCACCCATCTCACTTGGCCATCTTCTCAGTGTCCTTACTTCCCCCTGTGTGGGTTCCACACCAGGGCCAGCCTTTGTGCCCAATTTGAGATGCATGGAATACAACCTCCCCCCAGCACACTGGTGCCCGCTGTAACAGGGCAGCCACTCCACACTCAGGATCATCCTCTCTGGGCAGCAAACCCTCCTTTGTCAGAGACAAGCTCTGGATACACGAGCACGCTGAATATATACTGAGAGGCAGTTACAGGAGCAAGCGAGGTGGAGTGTTGTGACCAACTCTGCGGTTTAATGAGGCTCTGCCCTGTTGTTTCTCTGTGTATCCCACTCTCTCTGGCCTAACTTGACTCGGGGTTTTTGTTCCTAGACGAAGCAAGCAACTTATGTTCTCTTTCTGACCCGAACTACCCCTCTTCCTAGCCGAGGCTGCCATACCTGTGGCTGGCCCATCCTCCATGGAACATAAATCTCCAGTCACCTAGCTCTTACTCACCTGGCAAAATCCTTCTTTTGCCTTCTGCCCACATAACTGCACCCACCTTTGGCTATTTCAGGTCCCCGGGACAAAAACTGTGGTTAGCCACGAACTGTAAACCAACCCAAAGTAGCCACACTCGTTGACTGTAGATGCTCAGGGGCTCCCATTAGAGCCTACTAATGCCGTCACCCGAGAGGGAGAGTTTGTTCCCATCAACAGCAGACTCTTACGGCTACTCTACACCTCTGCCCAGCCATCCTTACCACCCTGGGTCTCTGAACAACACTACAGAATGGCAAGCCCACAGGCATAAAAGGAGCCTCAGAAATTATTTACTTCAACCTGCTACTTAATCCAGGGACCTTGTGCAGGGGACCTGACAGGTGGTCTGACAGCTGACACAGAATTGCCAATGCCCTCATGTTGACGGTACACAGAAGAGAGGGCAGGCCAGGAGGGACGTCCGTGTTGCCCTAACAGACCAGAAATGGACTCAGAAATGTACTTGGAGTATGATTTTCCTCCCTTTTGAACAATAGGGCTTGCGAATTATAAGGAAGTTCACAAATGTATGGTGTTCGTAACAGCAAGTATTCTTTCAAGGTTAGCGAGAAAAACCACAGGTCCCTGGGTAAGTGTGTTTTTTACTCATTAAGCTCCCTTTTTGGTCGGCTATGTCATGCCGAATTTCTGTCTGTGTGACCAGGAGCCTGTAGCCGCTGGAGCCCAGTGAGTAGTGCCTTTCAGGGTAGGCCTTCAGGCGCCCAGCACCAGCACCCCACGCTCCCACTCCCTTCCATCCCCTTCCAGGAAGAGTCACCTGCAGCAGTTTCTGCTGGAGGACTGTGTTGTCCCGGGGATCTGTGCGGTTGCCCAAGCGGAACTTGAGGGGGCGGTAGATGCAGCAGGCGGTGAAACAGATCATATAGAGCATGTACAAGGCACCCAGAATGTGAAAGTACCGCTGTCCGTATCTCTTCCACTTGAGGCTCACCAGCTCTTTCACTGGGGTCTGGTCCAGGATCTGGCGAGCCTACCATGGAAGCAGTGCATAGGTTGGGGGGCAGGGGGTGACTGGCACGGTGAGGAGTGCTGGATTTCCCGCCAGGTCCCAGAGGGCAGCCCAACAACAGCATCATCACCATTCATTCTGTTAAAGAAGTAAGCACGAGACGCCAGAACCCCAATGAGGCTTTGAGGGATGAGCAGTAGTTAGTAGAAAGAAGGGGGAGTTAGAGATCAGTCCACGAGCAGCAGCAGTCGCCAAGGCAGCCAGGCGAGAGAGGTGGTCATCTGCAAACAAGGTGCATCTGGGGACGTGAGAAGACCCATGGGGAGTGGCAGGCAGGAGTTGTAAGGGGTGATGTAAATAAGAGTCAGACCATCAGGTATTGGGAGCACAGTGGGGAGTTTGAATTATCTTTCCGAATGCAATAGGGAGCACAGGGGGTTCAAGCAAGGAAGTGGTCCTATTTTCTCTGCAAGTCTTAGGCACTGGAGGGGAGCAGCAGAGGCACGGAAAGTTGGATGAGGCAACCATGTAAGCCTCCGCGGCGGGCTGGAGTCTGATGGAAGTACACAGCAAGGGGTTAAGCACAAATGAGAGTGGGGGGTGGAGGGGATGAGGCATCTGAGAAAGTAAGAAAAGGCAAAAGTCAAACCATAGCTGTAGGAATGAACCATTAGCCAACAGAATACCTTTTCTGCTGATCCCAGAGGGAAGGAGAGATGGTGGGCAGTTTCTGATATATTTGGCAGCTCAAGGCAGGAAGTAGGAGGAACCCGATTTTTGCAGAGAGCCTCAATTTTTGCCGTAATGTAGGAGTCTGGGCTTCGAGGGAACTAAGGGGGGAAGGCTATGAGAGATGTAAAAAGGGCTAGGAATTTTGAAGGAAAGGAAAAGTAGCTGACTAAGACAAGAATAAAACCTGGAGAACACCGAGAGCTCACTGAAACCGGACATCAAGGATTTATGTAGGCACAATTCACACAGCGGGATTGGCGTTCTATTTCCTAAGAAATCCTGATAGAAGTTTATCTGTTTCCAGGAATATTCTCTGAGTAAGATCACACAAAGTGACCTTTCAAGTTCTCTCTTACTAACGATTGCCTGCATTTTATGGCAGATAGGTTCTTAGGAAATTGTCAGGTTGCAGATAAACAACAGAAATTCTATCTTGCCACTATTTTGGAAGTTTCCGAGGACCCGAAGCATTTGCTCCTTGCTCCTAGAGTCTTCGATAAATTTTCCCTTCCTACCGTTCACTCAATTCAGTACTATCAGAATGGCGCACGTGTTTCCCGCTCTCTGGGGAGCTCTCTTTCCCCTCCTCTTCCTGGTGAATTCCAGCTCCCCTAGAAGACCCAGCTCAAGCCCTTCCTCTGTGACATCTTTCCTGGCCCATCCAGGACAAGTCACTTGACCTCAGTGTTGCTGCCACTGTGCATGGTGCAGACTCCTATGGTGGCATACATTGTACTCCATTGCACTTCCTGAAGACAGGGAGTGGGGTGTGAGGAAGCAGACAGGAACTATGATTGATTTATTTCTGTACTCTCAGTTCCTTATACAGCAGCTGGGACTCAGAAGGTCCTCAGTGTGCTAAATGAATGAATGAATGAATGAATGCTACAAAGCAGCTTCCATTTGGAGAGTCCCTCAGCTAAAAGGTTAGTATGAGAAAGGTAAGCAGAAAGGGCTGGAGCTAGGCAGAGGGAGAACGCAGTCAGACTGGACTTATCTCCCAAAGGCTCCATGGTTCGGTTCTCATCTCCATTTATTATAAATCAGGGAAGTGTCTGGAGCCCAGGATGTAAGCAAACGGACAGGCTTTGCTCAGACACTTGACAGCCCCTGGTCATCTGTGGCACCCATACCTCTCGCTTCTTGGAGGAAATCACCAGCTCTAGAAAGGACATGTCTTCCCCCCAGGAGTCGATCTCGGTGAGGTCGTAGAGAGTGGAGGTCAGCGGCCCGTAGGTCCACTGAGACCTTCCGCTTCTGCATCAGGTGCTGAGAAACGTCTGAGAGACAGGTGGTGAGTGGGAGGAGTCAGTGTGAGAAGCTGGGCGGGGGGTCTCCACACGCTGACCAAAAGGCTGCAGCCCGCTCATGCGACTGATGGACAGTTAGTTGCGTGAACTCCCTTTTTTCTGAATTGTCTTTCTTTCCCACCCTATGGGAAAAGAGGAGGACGGGCAAAGGAACAGAGCAGCCGGGCTCCCAGAGCAGATGTCCTAAGCGACATTCTCAAAGCCTCCATGCCCAGGGTCCTGAGGCTGAGCATTTGGCGGCCGGAGTGAGGGAAGGGGCCCCCACCCTCTCGAACTGGGCACCAAGGGTCTTTGGAGAAGGCATGGACCCGGGAGGTGTCCCTCACCCGCGGTGTTGCCTCATAGCCAGCTTGAAGGGGTGAGACCCTGGTGATTGAGCACGAGGTCAGGGACTGCAGGTGGTCCCTAAGCCCATCATGGGACAGCAACCGTGTACATCTGGCAGCAAGATGTGTTGGGCTGCAGGGAGGCGAGGATGTGCAACCTGTTTCCTGGGGAGGGGGCATGAGTCGCATTGGCCCGTTGTGCTGAAGTCCCCTTGGGCTGCCCGACCTGGGGTGGCCCCTGCCCTCCCGGCCCCAGCTCTTACCCAGGGAGTCCTGGGCGGGATGTCCATCCATGCTCAATGAGCAGCCTCACCATCTCCTCACCCACGCGGGCAGCAAGAACAGGGGTGCTCCCCTGTGGACACAGAAGGCTAAGCTGCCGTGAGGTCCGATGGGCTGGGGATGGACAGCGTCCCAGTGACTGCCTCCTTGCCCGTGGCAGCTCTGGGCTCGGGGCTTCGTCAGCCGTGAGGCAAGGGGTGGAGCGCGCCCGTGGCGGGGAGGCCTGGCTCACGGCCTGTGAAACCCTGGAAGGCCCAGCTGCTTCCGGCCCTCCTCGGCCAGCCCTCCTTTGCTCTTGCCCACTCCCCATGTCCCTTCCTCCCAGCCCGGCCCGGCTCACCAAGTAGATGAGGTTGCGGGGGGCTGTGTGAGGCTGCCGACCTGTGGCTCTGTGAACACGCTGGCCCCACGTCGGGCAAGCAGGGCTCTCACCAAGTTCACGTTCTGGTTCACGATGGCTATGTGCAGGGCGGTCTGACCTGGCCCAGAGAGAGAGAGACGTCTCAGTGATGGGGCTGTCCCCAATTCTTCCAAGGACACAACATCTCACTGGCAGGCAGGAGGTCCCTGACAGGTCCTGGCATAGATTTCTGCCCTTGGCTTACCACAGTGGCCTGAGACTCAGGGCAATTTGTCTCACAGGCTGTCCACCTCACTGTCCCCACCTCTTGACTGTTGTGGGTAGGGTGTACATGGAATCACTGTAATGTTGCTATAAGAGAAAGAAACAGAGTTTTGTCCTACAGGGAACATGAGAGGAGTTGAAAGGAAAGGAAACAGTGAATGGCTAAATAAAGTCACATATGCTTGCAATCCCAGACTTCAAGCTGTATTACAAAGTTATAATCATTAAGACAGTATGGTACTGGTACATGAACAGACACATAGATCAATGGAACAGAATAGAGAACCCGGAAATGAACCCACAAATGTATGGCCAACTAATCTTTGACAAAGCAGGAAAGAATATCCAATGGTAAAAAGACAGTGTCTTCAGCAAATGGTGCTGGGAAAACTGGACAGCAACATGCAGAAGAATGAACCTTGACCACTTTCTTACACCATACACAAAAATAAACTCAAAACAGATGAAAGACCTAAAGATAAGACAGGAAGCCATCCAAATCCTCGTGGCGAAAACAGGCGACAACCTCTTTGACCTCAGCTGCAGCAATTTCTTACTCGACATGTCTTGGGAAGCAAGGGAAACAAAAGCAAACATGAACTATTGGGACCTCACCAAGATAAAAACCTTCTGCACAGTGAAGGAAACAATCAGCAAAACTAAAAGGTAACCAACAGAATGGGAGAAGATATTTGCAAATGACATCTCAGATAAAGGGTTAGTATCCAAAATCTATAAAGAACTTACCAAAATCAATACCCAAAAAACAGATAATCCAGTGAAGAAAGGGGCAAAAGACATGAATAGACACTTTTTCAAAGAAGACATCCAGATGGCTAACAGACACATGAAAAAATGCTCAACCTCACTCATCATCAGGGAAATACAAATCAAAACCACAATGAGATACCACCTCACACCAGTCAGAATGGCTAACATTAACAATTTAGTTAGGCAACGACAGATGTTGGCAAGGATGGGGAGAAAGAGAAAACTTCTTTTAAAATGTTTATTCATTTCTGAGAGACAGAGCACTAGAAGTGGAGGGGCAGAGACAGAGGGAGACACAGAATTTGAAGCAGGCTCTTGGCTCTGAGCTGTAAGCACAGACCCCGATATGGGACTCGGACTCACCAGCCGCGAGATCATGACCTGAGCTGAAGTTGGACACTTAATCAACTGAACCACCCACGTGCCCCAAATAGGAATCGTTTTGCACTGCTGGTGGGATTGCAGACTGGTGCAGCCACTCTGGAAAACAGTGTGAAGGTTCTTAAAAAAATTAAAAATAGAACTACCTTATGACCCAGCAATTGCACTACTAGGTATTTATCCAAAGGATGCAGGAGCACTGATTCAAAGAGGCACATGTACCCCAATGTTTATAGCAGCACTATCAACAATAACCAAAGTATGGAAAGGACCCAAATGTCCATCGACTGATGAATGGATAAAGAAGATGTGGTACCGGGGCGCCTGGGTGGTTCAGTCGGTTAAAAGCTGACTGACTTCGGCTCAGGTCGCCTGATCTCACGGTCCCGTGAGTTCGGAGCCCAGCGTGTCGGGCTCTGTGCTGACAGCTGGGAGCCTGGGCCTGTTCAGATTCTGTGTCTCCCTCTCTCCTGACCCTCCCGTTCATGCTCTGTCTCTCTCTGTCTAAAAAATAAAATAAGCGTTAAAAGATTTTTTTTTTAAAAGATGTGGTATATATATATATATATATATATATATATATATATATATATAATGGAATATTATTCAGTGATCAAAAAGAAAGAAATCTTGCCATTTGTAACAACATGGTTGGAACTAGAGGGTATTATGCTAAGAGAAATAAGAGAAAAACAAATATCATGTGACTTCACTCATATGTGGAATTTAAAATACAAAACATAAGGGATGGGAAGCAAAAATAACATAAAAACAGAGATGGAGACAAACCATAAGAAAGTCTTAAATACAGAGAACACACTGAGGGTTGCTGGTGGGGAGTTGGGTGGGGGGATGGGCTAAATGGATGATGGGCATGAAGGAGGGCATTTGTCGGAATGAGCATTGGGTGTTACATGTAAGTGATGAATCACTAAATTCTATTCCTGAAGTCATTATTACACTATATGTTAACTAACTTGGATTTAAATTATAAATCAATCAATCAATCAATCAATCAATAAAGGGCAGCTGCGTTTGGAGCCCTCTATGAAGAGATGAATCTCAAAAAAAAAAAGAAAGTCACGGATGCTAAAGGCCAAGACTGGGACGTATGCATGCCTTCCAACTCAAGGGCAACCTTCCTGAACCCTCTAGCACCTCTTCCCAGGCCACCCTTCGGAGACCCGTTTTAAGAGGTGACATCAGACTCTCCCACACCTGTCTCCACCTTGAACTACTGTATGGGCTCCTCACCTACAAATGGCTCACACAAGGTGGGCTCCTTGACCAGCTCCGGGGCAGCCTCTATCAGCACCACGGCGGCCTCGAGATTGTCATAGAGGGCCGCTATATGCAGCGCGGTCTCCCCCAAGGCTCCTGGAGGGGAGTAAGAGAGGAGTGTCAAACACCTCCAAGAGCACCTTGAGGAAGGGGCTCTGGCTCAAGGCTCTCTCCCTGCTTCCTCGCAGAAATCCTCAGCGTCCTGGGGCGAGGCAGGGCAGGTGGCCTGGCTCCATCACACCCAACCCACCTCTCTGTCGGAAATCACAGCTTCGGTCCAGCAGAAGTTTCTTGAGGGCACACAGGTCATTTTCCTTGGCTGCCTGAAGCAGTGGAGACTCTCGGATCCTGGGAGAAGATGAACGTGAGTCCAGTAGAGATAGAATCACTGAGAGGCCAAAGGCAGAGAGAGGATCAGAGACCTTCTCTATGTGGAACAGATACGAGTCACACAAAGTGTGCAGTGACACATTGCAAGGAGTCGTTAACTGGACTCTAGCTGAGGGTCAGACTGGGGTGAGAGTTTCCCCCATGGTTGTGTCATTGCCAGCTCTGCCCAAGTCTGGTGGGGGGTGGTTGGCGGGGGGGAGGCCTCAAGGTTCCAGTGGGCAGAAGACCTGTGGGGGCAGAAGGGGCCCATGCTGCAGAGCTGGTGGCCCTGATGACCCTGACAGGAGGCCATCGGGCCTAGCTGAATCCACCTAAGCTGAGTAAATGTTTTCACCCCTGCTCCCAGGCCTGCTGAGCTAGCTCTCCTTAGGCTAAGGGAGTTAGAGAGACCTTAGAGAGACCAGAGGGGCAGAGAGGCAAAGAGGGACCAGCTGTTGGAACTTAGGCGATTTACAAGCTGCCAAAATTCCAAATACCCCTCAGGGCTGCTCAGAGTCAGATCCGCGCTGTGTGTGTGGGGGGGGGGGGGGGGGGGGGGGGGGCGGGGCCTCGCGGAGGGCCAGTTCCTTCGTGTTTACCCATTCATAACTGAGGAGGATCATAGCCTTGGGCTCCTCTGGGAACCTAGCAGCTAGGAGCAGAAGCCCTGTGGAGGTATCCGTCCTAAGGCACTTCTTGTCAGTTCATCTTTGTTTCTTCCCTGCCTGGATGAACCAAAAAGCTAAAGCTGCAGGCACAAATCAGATCCCAGGGTGAATACAAGGCAGGGGAGGGTCACGAGGGGAGAAATGAGAGGCAAACAGACTGACCAGTGCTTCCCCTGGTGTCCCCAGGTCCCCCATCCTCTCTTCCAATTGCTCTGTGAGCCAGGGGCAAGAACATTTTTATTTAAAGAAGAAGCTTTTTATCTTGAGGTGGAGCTCAGGTCTGCCCATTAGAAAAGTACTCTCAGGAGGGACCAGCAGAGTAAGGGCCAGCGCCCTCCCCACCTCACCTAGACCCTCAGGGTGAATAGTCCCAGCTCAGGGTAACCAGGGCTAACCTGGCTTCACCCCCTGTGCTGGACGCACCGCACACAGCCTCAGCACCCAGGCCTCTAGCGCACCGCCCTCTGCGGAGGGCAGGTCCAGAACCCAGCTCTCTCTCCAAGACTGCCCTGGCCTCACCCTGAAGTTTCGAGGGAGGTGGGGAGGCCAAAGGTTCCCTCACAGGGCCTGGGGTGGGGGTTGGTGAGCAAGCAGAGAGCCTTTCCCAAATGAGGGCTCCGACTGCAGCCACAGCCAGCTGTACCGTTTGTGAGGCCCAGCGCGAAAGAAAAATGTAGGACTCCCTGTTCGAAAATTAAGAATTTCAACTTGACCACAGCAGCGCATTAAACCAAGTGCAGGGGTTTTCTGCAACACGGGATCCTGTGCCACTGTAGAGGCCACCTGCCCACGAGGCCAGCCCTGGCTGGACCGCAGGCCTGCTACTGTCTGCTCACCCCATCCCCAGGCAGCTCTCAGATGGGTGACAGGTTCCCCAGATGCTCTGAGGCAGAGGCCCACCTGCAGGATATAGGTCCCCGCCCTGGCCGCTGCTTTTCCGTGAAACACATCAGCCCCACCTGACCTGCAGGCATCCCCCGGGCAGGGACAGGCCTCATTCAGTCTACCGATGATCCTCCCGACCCAGCATTCCGCTGCACAAAGTAGACACTCAATAAAAGGTAGATAAGCTGAGTTTCCCTCATCAGCTGGTCAGCTCCAGAAGTTCTACAGAACACAGCTCTCCTCCTCTTTTTCACACAAGCAATTTTCCTTCACGCTAATGGGAATGCTTCGCTTTCTCCAGGCAACAAGTCTTCCAAAACCTGCAGGATCTCGTGCCTTCCCCGGTAATTTGCTCCCCACCAGCCTTCACCTGCCTGTCCTCCCCCTCCCCCAATCTGCTTTCTTCTATCCTTCTTCTGTTCCCGTCCCTTTCTGTCCCCCAGCCCCCTCCTCCACCAGCCAGGCAGGTTGGAGCTGTAGTGTCACTTTGTCCCTGGCTTCGAATCTACACCGAGTCTCCTCCTGCCCACTGCCAGAGACAGCTGGGGTTCGGAAGGAGTGGGCTGGGTGCACCCGACCACCTGACACTGAATGCTGGGCCGCTGCGAGCAGAGATACAGCAGCGGAGTGGATCAGAGGGTTGGGGGATCAGGGGGAGGTGGGACGTGGCACGACTGGGGCAGCCTACCTCTTCTGTTGCAGCATGTGGGCCTCGTCCAGATGCTGATCCCAGTCCTGCTCTCTGAGCAGCCAGGAGGCCAGAAGTTTCTGGAGTTGGACCCTGGGCCCCTCTGCCTTAGGTGGAGGAGACCCCATATCGTCTTCTTTCAGGCACTGGCAGGTTAGGGAATGTGGTAAAAGGAGCCGGTCTAGGAGTCCACAGAGGAGGAGGCGGGGTCTGTTTGGGGTTGGGACTGAGAGTGAGTATATCTCCAGTGTGACTTGTGGATACAGCGTGCAGTTTGTGGGTGGAGTGTGTGTGTATGCAGTGAGGTGACTGGGGGCCCTGCCAGGAGAATGTGGCTTTACCTGGAGGGGAGGAGCTCTCTCTAGAGAGCCCCCGGGCACAGAACCTGCTCTAGAGCTGGGAGGGGAGGTGGAGGAGGGAACTTCCTTCCCAGCAGTGGGCTGGGGCTGCAGGGGAGACAGGGGAAGGCTAGGAGACTGTGGGATGTAGAGGGGGAGCAAGGATGAAGCCCAGAATGTGGGCCCCACATGCAAGGTGAGCACTTACTGGGATACAGGAAAGTAGAAAAGTAAAAGCCCTCCAGCTTGACAATCAGGCAGGTTCTGGTTTGAACTCTGGCTCTTGGCCCCTTACAGATCATTTAAGTGAGCTTCCCAGGCCTTAGTCTTCCAAAATGTAGAATGGGGCCAATAATTGTACTGTCTCATGTGTCTGTAAAGCCTGAGCGTAAGAGTTCAGTGACTATTGGTTCTCCTTCCGCAGATGGGCTCCAAGCCCTGAGCGCTGCTTGTCTGCGTTGCGGTCTTTGTGGTTGTCTCTGTTCTCAACCTTGCAGCCAGCCTCCCGGAGGCTTCCAGGCCACGTCCTCAGTGAAACTTCTCTTCCTTCCCAGCTTTGTGGAGCCCCAGTCAGGGGAGACCCCAGAACTGGAACAGCAGGAGCTGAGCCGAGGTGGTGGACAGAGAAATCTGGGGACTCTCTTCGGGAATGATGAGGCAGGACTGAGGACACATCACCTTTTGTGTTATTTTCTAATAGGGTGGTTTCTATTTCTCTTCTGATTGGAAATGCTTGTTACTGAATTCGAGTCACCCGAGAGACAGATGCGGTACCTGGGAATAGGCTGAGGGCTCTCCTAATTTTCTAAAGAGAAGGGCAGAGCACAGAGAGGGAGGGTGATGGCCCACGGCTAGTAAGAAAACTAGACTGGCTTTAAAGTTGGAAAATTAGCTCCAAATCATCCGCCATAACTTGCTTTTTCTTCTGAATCTTCGGCCTGTACAGATGTGAGAGACTTGGGGGGACACAGGACCTTGGGGGGTCTTCAGGAGCAGGGGACTCCCCTCTTCTTTTACTACAAGATTGAAGGATGGACAAAGTGACCTTTATAGAAGGGGAATTGAAAGGAAAACAAATAAGGAAAGGGAGAGGGGATGCCAGAGACCAGGAGGAACCATGCTCTCACCCAGGTGGTAGGGAGATGCCAGCTGGGAAAGGGGAGGGGGGTCACCTTGTAGGGCAACTTTCTGCTTTGCTGGGGGTTGGGGCTGTGTGGGATGGTAATGGCCTCTGAAGCCTTGGGACTTCCAGTCTAAGGAGATGGACTGAGTGATAAGGTTGAGGTGGGGGTTGTAGATGCTCTGATAAGCAGGGACTGGCAGAGGAAGGAGGCCCGCCTAAGAAATACTCAACCCATAAAGCTAATCCTGGAGGCGGTGGGGGCGGGGAGGGGCCGGCCCAGTCAGAGCCGCACAGAGCAGGTACAGGGGGGCTTGCCACCAAGGGCCCCGTCCTTGGGGCTGGGGTTGGGGAGAGAGGGGGGCTCAGCAACAGGTGCCCCCCTCTGGGTCTTCACCCTCTCACTGGCCCAGGCTGGCTGCACAGGTCCAATTCTAAATTTTTTTTTAAATGTCTTTATTTATCTTTGAAGGAGAGAGAGACAGAGCATGAGCGGGGGAGGATTGGGAAGAGAGAGAGACACAGAATTTGAAGCAGGCTCTAGGCTCTAAGCCGTCAGCACAGAGCCCGATGCTCGAACTCACGAACCGTGAGATCGTGACCTGAGCTGAAGTCGGACACCCAACCAACTGAGCCACCCAGGTGCCCCATTCACAAGTGCACCTCTATGAGGATAGTTTTTGATAAATACGGTACAGTACTGTAAACATATTTTCTCTTTCATATGATTTTCTTAACAATGTATTTCCTCTAGCGTTCTTTGTTATAAAAATACAATATATAATACATATAGCATACAAAATATGTGCCAGTCGATAGTTTGCTATGGGTAAGGCTTGTAGTCAACAGTAGACCATTAGTAGTTAGGTTTGGGGGAGTCAAAAATATATACTTGGACTTTTGACTGCTTGGGGGGTTAGTGCCCCTAACCTCGTGTTGTTCGAGGGTCAGCTGTACCCCTGATCTTTAAGGAGTTGCCTGCTCTCCGCTGGCTTTCTCCCCTGACTCCCTCTCCTTTGTCATAGCCCCCTCCGCCACCTTATTTCTCCCTCATCCCTTCTCATGCTCCCTCAGCCTTCAGTGGACAAGAACACCTAGGACCCCTCTCCCCCCAGGTAGCAGCTTCCCTCAGTGTCAGGAGAGTCCCTGATGGCCGCTAGGGGACCAGGAGCCCCTCACTACACTTTCAGGTCCCAGAGCCTCTTGGTGTCAAAGCAGTCAGAACTCTTATTTGGATGTGATGTAGGGAGAGGGAAATGCATCATGCCTGGATTTTATCTTTTTAGGAAATACACTCCCACCCCACATACCCACAGCCATGTAAGGAAAGGATTTGAATACACTTTAAAACATTAATAGTGATTAGCACTGAATAGTGGAATTACTGACCCTTTTTGTTTTCCAGACTTCTTAAATTGCTGTTGTACTAAAACAAATTAAATTCCTGCTCGAATTCTCTCTCCCAACACAGGGAACCAGCAGCAGGTGGTGAGGAAACGCAAGGAACGGTGGTCAGTACAACCCAGTTCTTTTCACGCCTGCCTGTCCCACCCCCGGCGGCCCTCCCCATCCACACGCACTGAGCCTGGGTTGGCTTCTCTTTTTGCCAGGAACCAAGAAGCTCCTCCCCCAAAGTAACCAGATTAGTGACTTTTTTCCACCCAAGCATTGTTTCCTGGACATGAAGGTCAATGAGTGCACGGTAGGGGTGAACAGGGTCACCTGCTTACTTGAATCTTTCTTCCCCCACCGTCCAGTGACCTCGTGTACCACTCCCCAGTCACCTGGCCTGGGTGGGCGGGAAGTATGCAAGAGGTTGCAGCTGTCCCAGGGGGGCCTCCTGGTGAGCACTCTGCTAGCAGAGGTCCAGCTGTACTCCACGTCTACAATTCCGTCTTCCAGAAAGGGTACACGTTCCTGCACATGCACTTGGTGGTTCACTCAGGCGTGGGATGCATGGGCTCCACAAGTGGTGTGAGAGGGTTGTGATAGCTCAAGTGTGCCCACAATATCCTCCCACCTGCCCCAGCACCTGCCCTGTAGCTCCTGGCCTGCATTGCTTTCTGGTTTACCAGGGCAGGACTCCATCCTACCTCTCCAATCCCACCTGCCCCATCCCCAGCCATCTCTGCTCTGGGAAGCAGATAATTAGCCACCGCCCATTACTGCCAGCAGGTCTGTGCTCACCAGCTTCACAGGCCTGGCAGGCATTGGGGCTTTGAGGCAAGTTTCTGGAAATCTGTTATTTGGGATCCTGGCCTCACTGCCATGCTGCTGCTTCTTTAGACTCTAACTACAGGGCACCTAGGTGGCTCAGTCAGTTGAGTGTCCAACTCTTGATTCCATTCAGGTCATGATCTCACAGCTCGTGAGTTCAAGAGCCCGCGTTGGGCTCTGTGCTGACAGCGCAAGGCCTGCTTGGGATTCTCTCTCTCTCTCTCTCTCTCTCTCTCTCTCTCTCTCTCTGCCCATTCTCTTTCTGTGTCTCTCTCTGCCCCTCCCCAGCTCATATGCATGCTCTCTCTCTCTCAAAATAAATAAATAAAACTTAAAAAAAAAGACTCTGCTTCCATCAAGCAAGGAGTTTGAAGAATGAGCCTCTAACAACTTTTTCTTTGTGTCTGAGAGTATGAGGGGCTGTAAAATGAGAGAAGAGGGGTTTGTCTACCAGTTCAAGAGGCCAAAGGCTTAGGGAGAGGAAAGTCTAGGGGAGGGTGAAGAATGAGGGAATGATTTCTGCTTGGGCACAGGGTACCCCATTCTCTGTCTCTCTCTATGTACACATTCATTGTGTGTGTGTGTGTGTGTGTGTGTGTGTGTGTGTGTGCACGTACACGCACACACACCGTGTACTCTTTTCTCCCCCAACACCTATGCCTCTCTACCTTCCTCTGTTTTGGTGGACCTGAGTTTCAGGTACAGCCCAGGACTTGAGGATCTGATATTTCCACATCTGCTCTGGGCCACATTCTATACAAGCCACTTACCTTAGAGAATGGCTGCATGGAAGAGAGGAAGCTGTGATGTTTGGAATCAAAAGAGGTGGTCAAGGGGCACCTGGGTGGTTCAGTCGGTTAAGTGCCTGACTCTTAATTTTGGCTCAGGTTATGATCTTGAGGTTTGAGCCCTGTGTTACACTCTGCACTGACAGCATGGAGTCTACTCGGGATTCTCTCTCCCTCCCTCTCTCTCAAAATAAATAAATATACACTAAAACAAAAAGAGGTGGTCGAGAGTCCTGCTCCGCCCTTTATTGTCTGTGTGATGTTAAGCAGAAGAGTCATTTCTTTTGTGAACCTCAGTTTCCTCATCTATATGATGGGTATGATGACACTACTACTTTGATTCCCAGTTGCTATATTGATCTCATGATGTAATGGATGTGAAAGTACTTCACAAACTCTGAAGTCATTTTGTTGCCCTCCACAGGGTGATGCAGTAGGATCATCCTAGAAGCCTCTGCTGGCTACTCACCACTCTCTTGCCTGGCAAGGGAACTCTCTAGTGACCTGAATGAGGGGCAGGCCCATGGCTGTGATGTCACAAAGCTCATGACGTCAGAGGTCCTATGGAAGGGAAGGGAAGAAAACGGTGCAGGGAAGTGGTAAGGGCTGGGACAGGGACAGGGGAGGGAGGTGGGGGGAGCCGACTGGGCATAGGGGAGTAGGGAAGACCAAAGGTGGTGGATGGGCAGGCCCATGACTTCCCTGGGCTCCCAGCTCTGCAGGGCAGCATTCCTGGCCGCCATCTTGCTGCTGCTGCGGGTCAAGGGAGCGAAGCTTCAGAAAGGCAGCCTGGATCCCAACGAGAGGAGTCAGAACGAGAAAACACCCTCCACAGGTAGGACAACAGTGTCTGGAGCTAGGGATCAGACCTCTTTGGAGTCAGCCCCCCAGTTCCTATCAGGCTGGAGTGAAACCTGAGATAGGTCGGGTTGTGGGGAGAGAAGCCCAGTCCCTTATTATTGTAGCGTGAGAGAGTCAGGTAAAGGGTTTAGAGCAGGGTTCTTAGCGGGGGACGTATTCAGAGACATACCACGGGCTGGCTAGAGCACCACACAGGTGGCTTTCGTGTGTATGGGCAGGGGTGCATTTATCTTGGAAGAGGTTGTAGTTTCCATCCCTTCCCTGGGGTGGTCCCTCCAACCCCAAGTGTTGTAATGCTTTGGAGGAGGCCGTTTGAGGTAGAAATGGGGTATGTGCGCACCTGAGTTGGGGCTGTGGTTGAATACAGACCAGAGGAGACCTCCAGATGGAGCACCGCCTCCCTGGCCAAGGATAAGGGGATGCACAATTGGGCCAAAAGCCCCAGGCCCTAACTTCTTCTCAGACTCTCTAACTTCATCACCTTTCTGGTATAGGCCAGGATCGGGGCGGGGGCAGGTTAGGATCGGCCCTTTCAGTGCCTCCCCCTCTCCACGGTTGCAGACCAGGATCAAGAGAACTTTGAAGAGCACTTTGTGGCCTCCTCTGTGGGGGAGATGTGGCAGGTTGTGGACATGGCTCAGCAAGAGGATGACGGGACATCAGACACAGCAGCCCTTCGTGACCACCTATTTAACCTAGCCTTCTGCTTCAATCTGGCCAGCATCATGGTTTTTTTATGAGGGACATTGAGGCTGAGGTGGTAGCCTGGCTCCTGGATGAGGACCTTGCTATCTACTTCTGCTTCATGATAGCTTACTGACCCCCTCTTCCCCACCGGGCTCCAGGTCACTACTCCCAAGGGGAGGCGTACACACAGTTTCCTGCCTCTCGCCAGTGGCTCATCACCTCAGGATGCAGCATCTGAGAGATCCTGGTGCTGGCCTTTCAACTGTCCATTGCCCCAGCCTGACCGCCTTGCCACGCTCTGAGCACCTTCTCCCAGGGCCGGAGACACCAGACCCACAGCCTTCTCTTTCCCACACATCTCCCGGCTCTGCTCTGGACAGCACATTAGGGGAAAGAGGCAGCAACAATAAAAGTAATAGCAGTAAAGTCCTGAAAACATTTGGGGACAGCTTTCTGAGACTTAACCAAAGCCCTTTTGTCTCTAACTGGTCTGTTTAATCACCCAACCTTTGGCCCACTGACCTTTAGACCCATTGGTTTCTTCGCTTTTCTTGTGTCTACAGAATTCTCTTGGCATTTTCTCCTCTTATCTTCTCTGACTTCTAGGCATAGAACATATTAGGAAAGAGTCATTAATGGACAGTCAGAAGCCAAGTGCCAGCTTTTATTTTTGGAAGGGAAAGGGAAAGGAGATAGCGTCTGATTCCATGGATGGGGCAGGGAGGTGTTGTTACATCTAAGTTGGAGTCTCTGTGGTAGCCAGGTTACCAGAGCTGGCAGCGTTTGGAGGGGTTCATGAGGGCACCACGCGGACAGTGGAAGTGTCTGGCAAAGGCTTGCGTGTTGCTGAGGGGCCCATGTACTCGAAGCATGGGAGGGCTGTGAGGATCCTGGGGTTCCCAGGTGCTGGGCTCCCTACACATCACCTGTGGAGAAAGAGAGGTCCATGCAGGGTAAGGAGAAGAGCAGAATAGTAGGGTCCATCAGGGTCAGGAGGACAAGGCAGACCTGGTGCCAATGTAGTGACTAGGGACAGCAGACAGAGATGAGAGCAGAGATAGGGCCACACATTTGTATGTAATTTATTGTTTTATAAGTTTATTTATTTATTTTGATAGAGAGAAAGAACGTGACAGGGGCAGAGAGAGAGATGGAGAGAGAGAATCCCAAGCAGGCTCCACACTGTCTAGTGCAGAACCCGATGTGGGGCTCGAACTCACAAACTGCAAGATCATGACCTAAGCTGAAGTCTGATGCTTAACCAACTGAGGTACCTAGATGCCCCTGTAGGTCATTTATCTGGTAGGATGTGTGTGAGGGAGGGCATGGGCTGTGTAATCAGATCATTCGTAAGTGACTGAAAGGTGGGGAGGTGGAGTTTACTGTAAAAACTCCGTGAGGGAGTCTTTTTTATTTTTATTTTTTAGAGAGGATGAGGGAGAGAGAGAGAGAGAGAGAGAGAGAGAGAGAATCTTAAGCAGGCTCTGTGCTGGGTCTCAATCTCATGACCCTGGGATCATGACCAGAGCTGAAATCAAGAGTCAGACACTCAACTGACTGAACCACCCAAGCGCCCTGAGGGGTCTTTAAGTATACTGAGGAACTGGGGACAGTGTCTGTTGAGGGAGCATGTGGTACTCATGTGAGGACCTGGGGGGGTGAGGTCTCCAACAAGGAATATGGTCTATAGACAGTCTGTCGAAGGTTCGTTTTTTAGGAGAAATGAAAGAAGAAAAAGTTGGGCTCATCTCAGAGAGGGATTTGGCAGTAGAATTTTTTTCTGTTTTTGAAGAGGGTGATGAGTTTGGTAGAAGAATTTATAGAAATATGAAAAGATGGTCCCAAGGAGCATGTATGAAAAGATGACAGCGGGGACATCTGTGGCAGAGGGTTGGGGCTGTTTGGGGGAAGGTGTTTCAGGGAGGCACCCCTCTTCAAGCATTGCCAATAAGGTACTTATCTGACATGGAGCGAGCTGCGGAGGGAGGTGGCCGCTGCCTACCTGGGCATAGCTTCGGAAGAAGAGCTGTAGAGGGTTGAGGTCCAGGTTGGGCAGGATAGTCTCTCCGTAGTACCCTAACAGCCTCCTGCTGTACGCCTGGATATGGGGGTGGGATGGCAAGTAACCCTTAGACTCTAGACCCATGGCCACTTAGAAGTCTGATGCCCCACCCACAATGCCGAAAACCAGTTCACGGCCCTTTTGCCCAAGTTTCACAGACACACTGGTCTGAGCCAGGAAAAAAAATGTACTTGTGAGATCTATAGATAACCTAGAAAAGAGGGATCTGTGGGGTCAGAGGGGGATTCCCAGACTGCCATCTGCTCAGTGAGGGTGTGAAGGGCAGGAGGCTTTACAGCTATGTTTGCACAAGGGATGGTAGAAGGAAAAACCTGTGAAGACAGAATGACTCTCAATAGATCCTGGCCCTTGGGATTGGAGTTACCTGCAGTGCAATGGCCAGCCCCCCGATGTCGGCGGCATTCTCCAGTAGTGTCCAAGAGCCATTGAAGGAGAGTCCGCTGGGTAATGGAATGGATTGGTAGTGGCGTTTCAGGCAAAGCAGCGCCCCCTGTCGGGCATGGGTGTCACAGGCTGGGCAGCCCCCAGGGCGTACTGTTGAAAATGGGGCAAGGGAAAGGAATGGTGAGATATGGAGTAAGGATGAGGACCAGGGGGTACCACAGACTGGGCTAGCCCCCCAAAGCATTGCTAAAGATTCTTAACTGTGCCACCTGGAGCCCTCCCTTTCTCTTCCTTTGGCCTCGTTTAGGGCCTTCACCTGGATTCCCAATGGTCCCACCTCCCAATGGCCCACTGTTACCCACACAGCTGGGAGAAGATGTGCAGCAGCTCATGGGCCATAATGCTGCCAGCAGCGCCAAAGTTCACGGCTCTGGGAAAACAAAGGTTTATCTTACTCCGAGAGTCCTTCAAAGTTTTTGACCCCAGTTGGCCAACCATGAATCCTATACATCATAATGTCTGTCCATCGCCCTTGGGAAATCCCCTGCCCACCCTCATAGAACGGCCCCTACCTGGGGTAGCCAGGGTGGAAGAATGGAGGTTGGAGGAGTCCGGCTGGGAAGACCACCACATGGTCAGATATTGAATAGTAAGCACTGACCCCCCAGGTGGACACCTGCCACCTATGGGAAGAGCACGTATGAACACCAGCTCTGTCACGTATGGCCCTGCCCACCAGACATATGGGAGGCCCCACCCTCCCAACTACTGTCACCGTTCCTTTTCCCTCAGGCCCCCAGCTTTGTTTCCTGCTAATCTTGAATAGGCATTTCTGGGATGCAGTGTCTATGTCTCCCTTGCTCCTATACCTGTGCTGGGGGAAAGACTGCAAGAAGTTCTGGACAATTCTAGCTCGGAGAGATCGGACACAGCTCAGGAAGGACTGCAGGTAGCTGGGTCCAAGCTGTATCTGGGAGGAGGCAGGAGGTGACTCGGATACACAGAGACAAATACGGATGCACACTGATATATGCCGATGGGTACATCTGAACACAGACAGTAAGCCCCAACATACAGACATCCGCAGTACAGTAGAAAGCAGCACAATGACACCACGTCGATGCAGACAGGCTTCACATGAATCAGCGCACAGATAAACACACTCGGGCAAGTCCCAAGAATGTATGCGTGCATGTGTGCACACACACTTATTGTGACCTGAAAAGGTTCCTTTCTTTTGCTGGCAAGACCCACAGTGTGGATATTCACCCATAAAACCCAGCCAACACCAGGGCAAGGAAGGGGTCAGTTAGGATAGCCCAGGGCAAACAGATTGTCTGCCATTTGGGCGAGTCAGAAGGTGAGGAGAAGCTGAGGACTAATGAGGAGCTGGCAAGGGCAGGGACCCACATCGTTGTATTCCTCCCTGGCCAGTGATGGCTTCAGGGCCCATTCTGGGCCCCCCATCTTCACCTGCAGTTGGGTGACCTGAGGAGAGACACAAAAGGTAGAAGAAACCTAGCTCCCCAAGTCTATCGAAGGGAATTTCTTGTGTTCACTGCCCCGGTCCCACCTTTTATATTGTCACCAGGATGTGTATATGGCATACTGGTGTTTACATTGCCATGTGTTCTTGTGCCTTTGCATTGTCTTTCTGTCACTGTGATCTCTGGGCCCAAAACTCAATTCCACCCTTACTTCTGTCTCTCACTCCTGGACTTACCCTATCCTGGGCCTCTTTCCGGGTCTTCTCATCCATCCAGGGAACCCTCCTGAGGCGAGTGATGAGGGTGTCCTTGATTGCAGTGAATAGTTCCATGGCCTGTGTAGGGGCCCGGATAGAGACACAGGATCAGGGTCAGCCTTGGTCTGGGTTCCTGCCCCCTGGGCCTCTAGGAAGGGCCTTGGCCCCAGGGAGCTACCAGAGAAGGGGGAAGAACTCCAAAGAGAAAGCAGAAAGTAATATTTACTAGGTGACTGGAAACCCAGGGCACAGAGATCTGTGGAGACAGAAAGGAGGTACCAAGAACATAAAGGGAAGGTGGGAGCTGGTCAGTCCTGAGGGTCGATAGGGGAGACAGTTCCTTTCCGTGGGGAGATCTCAGCCTGCCAGGGGAGGGAGATGCTGTCCTTACCCTTGGCCAACAATCCACTCAGAAAACAAAGGAAGAGGACCATCATTCCCTTCTCTGTTCTTGAGAACCCTTGTCCTCACACTCTTTTTATTAAGGCATGCATTTCCTCTCTCCATCTTTCTGGGCTCTTCAGCTTTCCAACAAGCTGAAGTTTTCCCAGCTTCACAACTGACTGTGTAGTTACTGCTTTCCCAGCCATCTACCATCTTATTTGTATCCTTTCTTGATAGAGGAAAATGGATGACAATATTTGAAGCCTGAATTCAAATCCTGACTCTACTTTTTGGTAGTTGTGTGACCTTGGACAAGTTATCTAACCTCTCTGTGCTTCAGTTCTCTCTTCTCTAACGTTAGGATAATACTAGCAATTAAAGTAGTTCATGCCAAGTGCTAACAAAAGTGTTAGCCACATAGTAGGCACGCAAAGACTACTCAGTACTCATTTACTTGC